GGTTAAGCAAGGGGCTCGCGTGCTTCAATGGAGATGATCCCCTCCTGCAGGCACTTAACTTGTATTCCCGAGTGCAATTTTTAGGGAAAAAAGCCCCACGCAGTGAGAAGTGACCAGAATGTGGCAAACTAGCGGTCGTGGAGGGGGAGCTGTGGCATGGAAGCCTTTTCCGAACGCCGTTTTCCATAGGAATGCAGCCAGGACCATTCTGGGATTGCTCGGGAGCCTTTAACCTACAAGGCTTAAGCAATCCGCAAGGACAAGCAGCTTTCTGTCTCTTCCAGGGCACGTCTCTTCCAGGGCACGTCTCTTCCAGGGCACGTCTCTTCCAGGGCACGTCTCTTCCAGGGCAGCGTTGCTGCTTTTCCCGGGCAGTTTTGCAGAGGGTCTTGCTGCAAATGGGAGAATCCATCGCTTCGAGTCTTCCCCTTTTTGAGGCGGTCCTTTCTAGCATGCATTACCCTTGACGTGCGGGTGAGTGTTCCTAATGTTTTGGACTGTGTCCCAGGAGCCGTGCAGGAGCAGCCAGAGCTCCCTGTGCGGAGCCCTCTGCTGACCGTGACTTTCCGCAGGCTGGTTCTGGAGTTTGGCTTCCCAAAGCTGTGAAACAACAGAGAGATTTGTTCTAGACTGCTGTTTAATACTTTATGTGCAGGTACAAAGTGATCTCTTTGATCATTATTTTGTTGAAGGTACCAAAGAGAATGTCAGCCCTAGGATAAATGCTGAAAGTTATAAATAACAATTCCCACATTTTCAGAAGGCCGCTGTGCAAGCTCTGGTTGCATACAGCAATCACGCCAGTCATCAGTATTGCAAGTCTTCGCTCTCATTGTTTTATTGTTGTTTTCACTAACATAAAGCAATAAAAGTAATGACTCAATAATCATGAAAATCTCACAAGTCACATAAACTATGTATTCTGCACGGTTCTAGGTGTTCCCAAATGCATTATATCAAAAAGCAGTGACTAACAAGCAGTGTGTAATGTTTATTCTCATTTTTTGCCCCAGGTGTGGTGCTTTCTTTGCTGCAGTCTCTGGTGCACTGCAGCACCAGGACGGCCCCGGAAGGGCTGGAATTGCAGGGCAGCCCCTTGCACACATGCAGGGTGTGCGGCGCCGAGGGGAAGGGCAGTAACAGGTAGAGCCTCGCGCCGCTTCCCCTCTGCCAACCGTGGGCAACGGGTTTTCTTGATTTCAAGCAAAAAAGGTCTCGGCGCTGCACGTGGTGCTGCTGCTGTGGAGATGTGGCTGTGAGCACCCGAGGTCGCACCTGGGGACTCCTGCTTGCCCAAAGCCGCCTTCCACCTGCGAGGGAAAAGAGTTGAACCTGCTGCAGTTTAATTAGCTCAATTAGTTGTTGCAGGGTGATGCTATAACGCAGACCAAGTAGCAGCACTTACAATTTCCGCGGAGCCCAAGTGACCCTGTTTGAGCAAAGTGAATAGGTGCAATGGTCTGAGCAGAGCCCTCCCAGCGGGGCCCGGCACCACGCGATGGGCGCCGAGCGCAGGAGAGGGGCAGCGGAGCCGGGGGATGCGGGAAGCAGGAAGCGGAGCGGCCTCCCCGGTGGGAAGCGGCGCTTAACAACTCCGAAAGGTCAAGGTATTGACCAGGAGGAACCAAGGGCTCCCCCTGCAGCAGTGTGGCATTTGCTGGATGCTCTGCTTTTTGGACTAGGACAGGCAAAAAATGTTTTCTGTGTGTGGGTGAGAATTGGAGAATACAGGGGGCGTAAGTGCAAAACTAAATCACCTATTTAGGAGTGTTTTAGCGAAGCTTCAGCTTTGTAGTCTTACAAAAAAGATGCACTAAAACATATATGGAATTCTTCTCACTTCACCTGCAATGTAAGTGACTGCTGTGTGCACTCCTCTGCTGAATATGTTCTTAATATGTGCTTGCCTGTGCAGTCTGGAGGACGTTGCTGAATTAGGACAACAGTGATGACACTAGAGTCACAAAATGAGAAAACAGTGAAATATCCAAAAAGTGGAAAGTACTTTACGTCATAATGGTTAAGAATATGTGTGAGATGTGCTAACATAAAATAAATTTTGTTTGTAGGTTGGTACAGCTATTTATGGATTTTTGAAATAAGTCAAAGATCTGGTAAGAGTACACAAAATTGGGGGTTGTCCTTCGAACGAAGCAAATAAATTCAATGAGCTTCCACAAAATGAGCAGTGTCGGCTTTCCGCTCTCCTCTTTGCCCTGAAAATGTAGAAAATAAGGCATAGGTGGAATGGCTCTGCTGTCTCTTCCAGTGGATGGGCAAACCAGGCTGCAGTTCTGCACGTTGATGCTTTCTCTTTGTTTGTGAGAAACGGCTGCAGACGGGGGGCTGTCGTTTCAGAGAATGGGGGATTTGTCACATTTAACTACTGAACTACACGGTTACTGCTTAATGAGACATATATTAATCGCGCTGTTTTTTTGTACGTGACTAAGAATTTTCCCTTCGGGATTCCCGGGAACGTTTAGGCCGTGGCTGTTCAGTACTGGTGTCTCAGTGTCCTACCAAACAGGCGCAGGGGTTTGTGCAGGGGTGCACAATCCTCTGCAGGTTCTGCAGGGCGTTCCGAATTCCCACTGCCTCTTAGGCTTTTAATTTGGGAGCCTTGAGAGATGAATAATCCATTGCAATATATCCTCCGTGGCAGGTCGGGAGCCCGTTTTCCTCCAGATGCTCCTTTTGGAGATGTTCTTCAAGGTGGGCTCTTTCTTTCTCTCTCTCTCCGCCCTCGGGCAGGTGCAAGACGAAGGTGTACGCCGACGACCTCCCCAACACGAGCGTGGTGATCGTGTTCCACAACGAGGCCTGGAGCACTCTGCTCCGCACCATTTACAGCGTCATCAACCGGTCGCCCCGTCGGCTGCTCGCCGAGATCATCCTGGTGGACGGGGAGGTGCGAGCCGGCCCCCGCACGGCCTCCGCGGTGCCACCAGGGGGGAGCCACTCACCTTGCCTGCAAATCGAACCGCAGTCTGCAAGTGGGATGGATGAAATAAGAAACAAATTTGCCTGGAACAGCCAGGTGTTTCCCATGCCACTTTTTTAATGACAAATACAACATATTTGCAGTCACTCAGATTAGACGAAAAGAAATCCAGTAGTCTCATCCTGCATGCCGAGTTGGACTCAGCAATTGGTAAATTGCAAAAAAAAAGAGGACAGGAAAGTCTCCGCAGTGCTTAATACAGCGCTGGGTGGATGCTTTTCCGTGGCACAGAGGGCTCCTATGACATATTTCCAAGTGCAGATCTGCTCTCCATGCACCGCAGCACTTGCACACCGCAGGCTCTGTCCCCTTGCTCCACAGTCCTCCCTTACAGAGAGGGTGCAGGTTAAGCCATCCTTGGTCTGCCCATGTAGCAGGAGTGCCCTGCTAATTACCCTCCTGCATTTCCATGCTTTCCAAGCATAGAATATGGGAATCTTAAGTGCTCAGACAGTGAAATTCATCAGAAAGAGCCATATTTGTAATGGGCCATTAGCAAATTAGCAGGAGTGCAATCATTTTGCACTCGGTGTTGTGGCTGGTTTATTTTGGGAGCGGATGATGCGCTGCTCAGAATCGGTGTGTTTGACGTTTCCATGCAGCGCGCGGGCGACAGCTCCGCGTGGCCGTGTGGGCAGAGTCCCCTGCAGTCCCCGTGTCTCCGTGCTCGGGATCACGTCCTCATCCAGTTCCTGCGTTGGGCTTCAGCCCTTAGGTCCCCAGTGTGACACTGCTGGGGTGTGCAGGAGTGATCTGCAGAGCGACTAGCATGACGCATGAACCACGTTGTTATATTTAGAAACCTCCTTAGCTGCTCAACGTAGGTGTTTTTCTTCTGTTTTCCTGATTTGTTGATTATCTTTGGCAGATTTTCTGAAGGCCTCGTTAGAGAACTACGTGAAAAACTTGGACGTGTCGATAAAAATCATCAGGATGGAGCAGAGGTCGGGGCTGATCCGCGCGCGGCTCCGAGGCGCCGCGGCCTCCCGGGGCCAGGTCATCACCTTCCTGGACGCGCACTGCGAGTGCACGGCGGGCTGGCTGGAGCCGCTGCTCGCCAGGATCCGGGAGGACCGGTGAGGACGCAGGCCCATGGGCTCCTGGTGCGGCAGGAGGAGCGGTGCCAGCAGGGCCAGGGAGGGATCCTGCCCCTCTGCTCAGCTCTGGGGAGGCACCTGGAGCATTGGGGGCAGTTCTGGGCTCCCCAGGACAAGAGGGGCCTGGAGCTGCTAGAGAGGGGCCAGCAGAGAGCCATGAAGATGATGGAGGGAGTGAAGCATCTATCGAATGAGGAAAGACTAAGCGAGCTGGGCCTGGTTGGCCTGGAGAAGAGAAGGCTGAGAGGGATCTGATCAACATGTTCAAGTACCTGAGGGGAGAATATGGGGAGGATGGGGCCAGGCTTGTCAATGATGGACCAAGAGGTAACGGGTACAAGCTGAACCCCAGGGAGCTCCATCTCCATGTGAGGAAGAACTTTGCTGTGAGGGTGCCAGAGCCCTGGCACAGGCTGCCCAGAGAGACTGTGGAGGCTCCTTCTCTGGAGACCTTCAAACTCGCCTGGATGCTGCCCTGTGCCCCTGCTCTGGGTGTCCCTGCTGGAGCAGGGGCTGGGCTTGGATGATGCGTGCGTGGCAACGGGGAGAGGCGCTGGCAGCCCGCAGCTCTGGGGACAGCAGCGAGGGGTCGCGTCATCACAGGACGGTTAAGGGTGGAAGGGACCTCTAGACATCATCGAGTCCACATCAAGGCTCCCAAAAGCCACTGACAACAACCATAAGGGAATCCTGCATGGCCTCCTTTATTTTTTATTTTTTAATTTTGCAATGAAGCCACACAGGAAAAGACTGGGATATTTAGTGTATTGCATGGATTCGATTTTTTGTTCTCAAAAGTGCTGATCTTTTCTTACAGGAAGAACTGTGGTCTGCCCAATCATCGACGTGATCAGTGATGACACGTTTGAATACATGGCTGGGTCCGACATGACTTACGGAGGGTTTAACTGGAAACTAAACTTCCGCTGGTATCCAGTTCCCCAGAGAGAGATGGACAGGAGGAAAGGAGACCGAACCTTGCCTGTGAGGTAAGGAGAATGCATCGAGAGCACCGTGGTAGTTG